TCACTCTCGGAAGCCAACTTTAAAGTATTCTCCAGGTGGTACCTGGTGCCCTCTAGACTTGCACTTATGTACCCGGGAACATCACCCTTATGTTTTCGGGGATGTGCGCTCGAGGGCACTATGTACCATGTATGGTGGACATGTTCGCGTATCCGAAACTTTTGGGGAGGGGGTTTTTAATTTAATCTTCCGGGTCGTGGGCATAAGGGTTCCAAGAGACCCTAGGCTGGCCTTGCTTAATGATACTATCCCTGAAACTCCTAAACACTCTAGAAGATTGATAAATTTCATATTCCTGGCAGCTAAAGTTACGATTGCTAAAACATGGAAGACATCCAGGGTACCGCTGAGCCAGGTTAGGACTAAGCTGTCTTGGATTATGACTCATGAAAAATTGGCGAGTATACTCCAAGACAAAATGGAACAGTTTGAGCTTACCTGGGCACCGTGGGCGGCATATGTAAATCCTGTAGGAGTATGAGAGGAAGGGAGCGAAGGCGAGCCCTAGCCCACCCCGACCAGAAAAATTTAAATATGTTCAAAATTAAAACCTATTACAACAGTTGCTATATAACCACATTGTTCTTTTTTTTTGCTGTTTTTGCTTTTTGTTTTTTTATTATGTCTTTAGGTTTTGTAAGGCACTATAATAGGGATAACCTAGTAATCTGGTCTCGACTGTTCTTACACAAGCTTCTGGTAAGAATAGTCGACAAGTCCCTGGGTTTTTGACCATCGGTCGAGTGATTGCTAAACCCCAAGATAACAAGATGGGATGTAGGTATATCTTCAGGGGGTAAAATAGGAATAGTTCCGCTAAGGCCGAAGTTTGGAGTGGGAAGCTGGGCAGGGGGCCAGCTTGAGCCGAAATTAAAAACGTTAGGCTTGTGTCCACAATTGAGACCAGATACTAGAGATGGAAAAATAAGGAATCACGAAGACTGTCTTTTTGTTTTATGTTGTTCTGTTACATTGTAGTATGTTGATGGTCATTGTATATGCCTCAATGAAAATAATAAAAACTTTTAAATGATCAAACAGTGGAGGGGCTAAGGGGAAGAAGGTCAGGGGACAGATTAAAGAAGTTGGTATGGGATCTAGAAAAATAGCTAAGGAAAGTCCAGTGCATTTTTCCTAACTGAATTTCCTTGCTGAATTAAAGTCAATTATAAGAGAAGTCATCTCAAGTATTTTTGTTTTCAGTTAGTGTAAGTAATGAAAAACCCCGCTGTGTCTTTTTTCTTTATTCTGACACGAGCGATGTCAGAATAGAGAAAAAGAAAAATTCCCATTCAAAAGCATTGGGACATTACTATTGGCTATTTCAATTTCAATAGCCAATAGTAAACTAGCATTGTACCCGCCCTCTTTTGCAGTTCCCCATCAGGTCCATCAGCAGAGGGCGGGTACAATGCTAGTTTACTATTGGCTATTGCAAATTGAAATAGCCAATAGTAAACTCCCAATGCTTTTGAATGGGAATTCGTCTTTTTTTTGTTTTCTGTATTCTGACATCGCTCGTGTCAGAATAAAGAAAAAAAAAGACACAGCGGGGTTTCTCTTCTTGGCGGCCGGGAGCGGGGGGCTCCCAGAGCGCCCGGGAGATTTTTTTAATTTTTTTTTTTTTACAGCAGCAGAGCCGCCGGACAATAGGAAACTATTGGGCGGAGCTAGCTGTCACTGCTAGCTCCGCACAATCGTTTTCTATTAACTTTTTTCTACTTTTTTCACTCTTTTTCTGTTCTGCCCGGTGCCTCTGAGGGACCGAGCAGAACAGCCGAGCCAAATGCCGCTCGGCGGCATTCGGCTATTCTCTCACTGCTGTTCGGGATCTTTCAGAATAGCCCGAACAGCAGTGTGAAGCCTGCCGGAGGTTCGGCTCAGCCGATCCAGATGTTGGATCGGCTGAGTCGAACTCCTTCTGCACTTCGGGTCAGCCGAACATGCTGAGCATGTTCGGCTGATCCGAAGCCACACGAAGCAAGCCGATGTACGGCTGATTTCAGCCGATGTCAGCCGATGCCTGAAGTGAATAGCCGAACACTTTACTTCTGATCGGTCATTCACTCGGCTGCCCTCGGCAGCTTTGTGAATAGACCCCATAGATTTTCATCAGTGGAGCAGTTTAAATACTAACAAGAAGCTAATTATGTTAATGTAAAAAGCCAATAAAGTTGCCTGAGGGCTTGTTCACACCAAATGTGGTGCATTCCAGAGTGGTAACTGCTGGAACGCACTGCGATCCCTCACAAAACTCCCCCTGCGTTCTGGGGTGGGAGGGGGTGTGGCGGTGCATTGAATTCAATGGCACCGCTTTCACGCCCGCAGTGAGCTTGCTTTATTTTTTGCGTTTGCAGTGGAACGCACCGCATTTGGTGTGAACAAGCCCTTATACACAAATGGTGTATTGTATTATACAAACTACATAGAGACAAAAGCAAAATTTGTAAACACAAATTGATAAATGTGTATTCTTTATTTAGTCTGATCACATTAATATATATATACGGGTAGCCCTCAATTTACACTGGGGTTAGGTTCCAGAAGGAATGGTTGTAAATAGAAACTGGTGTAAATTGAAACCCAGTATGTATATGATGAGGTTGCAGCACTATGGTCATCAGTTACAGGTGAACAAATATCCAGCAGTTTTGGACCCTCCATCCTTCACCAGACAAATGGATTCTTTTGCTTGGGAAGGACCAATGGTGCAAAACTATTGTTGAGATGTAACTGCTTGTTCATGAGGTGCTGCAACGTTATTTCTGATTTGTTTCCCCCTGTTTAGTCTAGATGTATACTTGTGTTGCATAAATAAACTTCATTATTAAGTGACTACAGCCAATATGAGCCATGAGTAGGCTGAGTATCTGGGCATAGAGTATTGTATTGTGCATGTAGTGAATGCCTCTATGTACCTCCCATGCCAGTTTTATATTGATTGATTGGCTAGCATATTTTCTGCTATAACAGTTGGGTGTAATTCAGAGTTAGAAGGTTGCAGAAAAGTTTGTAACAATAATCCACAAATTTTACAATTCCAGAATGCATATTCAATACAATAAAGGTATGATGTTCTTTTTATACGATCACTTTGATCAATGGTCACCGTCTACATAGTTGCTGTGACAACTTCCTGATTGAAAGCGCTCTACTTTTCACAGATTAAGAAGCGCCATTCCAGTGGTAGTATGTCAGAGGACAAATTTGCCGCATCAGCCCGAGAATATGTTGAGTCGCTTCACCAGAATTCCAAAATACATCTACTCTATGGGAAAAACAATGTTCTGGTACAACCGGTAAGTGAATATGTATTTCTGGTAAGGTCAATAAATGTTGATAGTATCATTTTATGTATACTTTGTGTACAGTTATTAGTTTTTGTATTCTGTACCTGTTGCCTCGCTCTTTGACTCCGGGGCTGCGTTCCAGGTCTATGGCAGTCAGATCACTCTGATTGCAGCTGACCTGGGCTAATAGGCAGTTCGACAGTGGGGGAATTGGCATTGCTGTCAGAGGTCATTGCTGATACCTGTCTATAAATCAAGTATCAGAAGTAGTGACAGGTCACCTTTTAAGCAGACCTGTCACTTGTGCACCAGGATTAAAGATTAAATCTAGAAAATAACTAAACATGTTACACTCCTGTGTTTTAGAGTTTGCACTTTATTCAGGTTTCTATATGTCTGAACAAATCACACTCTATATTCATAAATATGAACATGTAACGGTTGTTTTGCACTCCATATTCCTAATTGGCTCTAAAGGGTCAGATACAGTTTAGAGTAATGTCACTTACCCTGACATTTCTTACCCTTAGCGTGGAAAGGGGAAATGTAAAAACCCAGAATCCGCATTAAAATGTAAGTCTGACAAAAATAATACAATGTATCTCACCCATAATGCAACAGGAATATAGCAGAGACACTTTAGATACAGCTGTTAAAAAACTAGAAGAAGGTCAATACTAAAGAGTTTTTATTACCAAAAACTAAAATTTGTACCGTATTTTGCGGTCCATAAGACGCACCGGACCATAGGACGCAGGGAGGTCCGGCGCGCCTTATGGAGCACTCGACAGACCGTAGCTTCTGTCACAGCTTCTATGACAGAAGCTGTGACAGAAGCTGCAGTTAGTGACCGCTGAGACAGGTGATGCTGTGATTACAGCGCCACGGTCTCAGTGATCACACAGAGCAGACAAAGAAAGTCCGTTCTACGTCTGCTCTATGGTGATCTCGATCGTCACCGCTGCTCTGTTTTAATATGAGTGATCTCATTAGATCACTCGTATTAAACTAGCAGTGGCTCCTACTACTGATCTCGATCGCCGCCGCCGCTGCTCGGTTTTAATACGAGTGATCTCATTAGATCACTCGTATTAAACGAGCAGTGGCTCCTACTACTCGCCCGGCGCCCGAAACTGCTTGTCTCGGGCGTCGGGATTCGCTCCATAAGACGCAGGCACATTTTCCCCTCCTTTTGGAGGGAAAAAAGCGCGTCTTATGGAGCGGAAAATACGGTAATTCTATATTGAAATTCTGTCCCACTCATAATAACCATATTGATCTAGAAGTTTGTAAACTTATTGAAGATGACCATAGGATGTACTTCCTCAATGCACTGACACAATTCCACTCAGCCCTATGAATATGCACTTCCTCGTGTCATGGCTCACAGAGCCTGCCTTCTGAACTACAACTTAACAGCTGAACAATGTAACATGTTTGCTGGAAGCAATGCATGATGAGATAGGTAGAAATCGAGAATTCATCACGTCAAGCAGCAGGGAAAGAGACACAAAGCACACTGGGAATCCAGGAAGTTGCTGAAAGTGATGGGCAGACAGAAGGAAGCACTCACTCTGTAAAAGGAATTTTTGTCAAGTAAGCTTTGATTGCATTATCAAAAACAACTCTAGTATGTATTCCTATTACAATGCTGATGTTATAACAGGAGAGTATATGCTGGGACATTAGAACTTCTTTAAAGCGTACTGTATCCAAAACCAAAATCGTAATATATTGCAGCTTATCAGTCCTGAAATGCGGTGGGTGCAATAGTTTTATTTTTTTCTGGCTCTTCTTCCTTTATTTTCACCAGGTGAGCCAGCCAATATCACATTTAATGCCCTAGGGTGACAACACTCACTTACTGTACTGTATCTATAGATGAGCAGTGTTGTCACCCTTAGCTGCTCTGCTGATTTGGGCTATAAAAACCTGCTCCTCTCCTCATCTTTATTACATAGATGGGGCTGTTTTGTAATTTACAAAAGAAAGCTGGGAAGGCTGATAACTTTGGGATATCAATTCAGATCACAGGAAACTACAAGGACACCCGCATTCTGGCAAGACCAACTGGCATTTTTCTCTATTTGCAGAAAATAAAAACTAGTGCAGCCACCACATCTATGAACTGGTGAAGTGCAAAATGTTACATTTTTGATCTTGGGGTTAGATATCCTTTAAATAATAATGCACAAAAAGTCATGTATACTAAAATGTTAGATACAAGATCTTAGTTTGCATTGTATCCGTGATTGGCAAATGTAATGTACTTGTAAATTTGTAGTTATTTGTCCTAAAATCTATAATTATAACATGTAAACTCTTCCATAGAAAGAAGATATGGAGGCCATTCCTGGGTATCTTTCTCTTCATCAGAGTGGGGAAAGCTTGACATTAAAGTGGACTCCTAACCAGTTATTAAATGGGACACTGGGAGACTCAGAGCTTGAAAAGAGGTAATACCCTGCCAGTAACAAAGTAAAGATTTGGCTGACGGTTACATAGTTATATACGGTAGTATTTGAGGTTGAATAAACACATAAGTCCATCAAGTCCAACCTATTGTGTGCATGTATATGGTTCTACTGATGTGTGTGAACTAATTTTTAAGAGTACCTGTACCCCTGTATATTATGATCCCTAAGGAAATCGTCCAAAAGCTTCTTGAACGTTTTCACACTCTTAGCTGAAACCACTGCATGTGGCAGCGAGTTCCAGACCCTAACCGCTCTAACTGAGAAGAACCCCCTTCTGCCCTTGTGCTGACATTTTTTCTCCACCAGTTTTAGGTAAAGAGTAAAGAGTTTGTTGCTTATGTTGCTATCACCATTGAACATTTTGTACATGAAAATCATGTCCCCCCTTAATCTCCTTACTTCCAACGAGAACATATTTCAATTTAGTAGCCTTGTCTCATAGCTCTGGTCCTCCATCCCCTTAATGAGTTTGGTTGCCCTCCGCTGGACTCTTTCCAGCTCAAGGACATCCTTTCTGTGGATTGGTGACCAAAACTGGACCGCATACTCTAGATGTGGCCGAACCAGTGATCTGTAAAGTGGCACAATTATAGACTTGTCTCTGCAATACATTCCCTTCTTAATACAGGACAGGACCCTACTTGCTTTGTTTACAGCAGCCTTTTCAATAAAAATCTCAAACTAAAACAAAATAACTAAAATCACAAAGCCCAACCCCTGCCAAAACTATCTACTTTGTTTTTCAGAAGGAAGTTAAGGGTTAGAGCCTTTTTCAGGTTTTTACTGCTCTCTTTGCCTCTGTTGTGTACATTTCCCCTTCTGGTCTGGACAGAAAATGATGGAAAATTTGTATTTATTATTGGTATTTATACTGTATAACACAACAAATCACGCAGAGCTTTACATACAGCACATTCACATCAGTCCCTGCCCTCAAGGAGCTTACAATCTAAGGTCCCTATCTCACATGCACACATACAGGGCCAATTTAGACAGAAGCCAATTAACCTACCAGCATGTCTTTGGAGTGTGGAAGGAAACCGGAATACCCAGAGGAAACCAACGCAAGCACAGGGAGAAAATGCCAACTCCTTGCAGATAGTGTCCTGACTGGGGTAGAAAACTGGGGACCCCAGTGCTGCAAGGTAGAAGTGCTAACCACAAAGCCATTGTGCTGCCGAGGACAGTCTCTCCAGTGGAGATTCAGACAAAATCAAAAAACACTAAGGGAAGAGTTTAGAACTTCTGGAATTGTTTTTTATATTGCTGTCTATGCCTTACTGTTCTAGTAATAACTACATCCCCCGATTCTTATGTGGGTGTCACCAGGACAGGAAGTGAGGGAAAATGTCCCCAATAGGGTCACAGAAAAAAAACTGACAAATGTTTTACTGTTCCCCACTCTCACCAAAACTGGAAAAAATGTTAGACTGGGATGAACTTTTCAGATACAACTTTGCATCATATGGGGCCGTTTTGATCACCTTTATGCCAATGCAAAGTCCCTTTTAAATGGAAGTAAATGTGTCCAGCAAAGAAGTAAATGTAATTTTTCTTTTATTACCAATACTTTTTTACACTAAAGCTACTGTATTGTTTTAGATAAAACAGTTAAATGTTAACATATTATAGATTTAAATTACATCTATTTACAGGATTCCCTGAATATTTATAAGAGATTTAGTAGAATAATGTACACAAATAATGCAAACCCTTTGTGCAAATAGCTGTATGCAGATTGATCATATGTAAGAGTATTCAGTAAAAGGACTCAGGCAAAAGACATTTAAATTTTGGAATTCATCATTTTTCACAAGCTTGCAAGATTTGTTGATTCAGGTTTTTTGGGGCCTGTATTTCTACTTCCTTCCTCCTAAGCCCGCCTGTATTATGCCTCCCCCCTTACCCCAGTGATTGGCTTACCTTAGTACCAAGCTAAGAAGATCAGACTTCATAGCCACACAAGACATTTCAAGGTTAGGGACAGAGACGCTGAAAGAAACAGTTTGTCTAGTGAGTGTATATACACCAAAAGCTAAAAGAGTAGGATGCTGTCACCATGTTTTTATAGCAGTTTGGTTCTAAGTGTACAGACCCAGTCATGATGTGTGGCATGGGTTTGGCTATGTGCCACATCTGGCAGTCTTGGGTCCTAGGCTACAGACTATGTCAGCTATGCAGAAATCTGACTATAATTGAGTGAGTATGGATTGCAAAATGTACATCGAGCTAGAACCCTTCCCATTTTTATCCTTCTCCGACCTGACTGTACTAATTTCTAATATGTCAATTCAAACGTTACAGACTTTTTTTTTAAAGACCTCTATCCTGCTAAACTTGCCACAACCCAGAAAGATGTTGATGCCTTTCTCACCCCTATACAAATCCCGCAATTTCCAGAGAATTTGGAAGCAATCGTAGATGTCCCTCTAAAATATATTTTATTAAGACACACTATAAGAAGGTTTTTAGATCCCTTTCTGTAACTCTTTGAAATAACTCCTTGTAAAATCTACTTAGAGACCAAGACAAGATTGATGTGGTGACAAACTTCTTCAACATTCTGCAAACCATGGGACCTCCACCCTTTTTACCTCCTATGGCAAATGGAATTTATATCAATTTATACCACCTCTCTCCATGAAAACTGGAGGTGGAGGAGACCTGGTTTGCTGATGGTTTTAGCACAGCAGACAAATGAATAGAGGTTACATTTCTACAATGGCTACTAGGGATGCACCGATACCAAGTACAGCACTCGGTACAAGTACAAGTACATGTACCGATACTTTTCGAGCTCCAAGACTAGACTAGAGAAAAAATCAAAAGTTAGGAGGCAGCTGTCATTTGTAAGGAGCACACAGAGCTCCTGGGATTTGTACATCTCTGTTTTAATGTATGATTTTGTTTTTATAAATATAAATAAAGGGATACACCAATACCAGTTTTGTGAGTACAAGTACTGATACTTACTTACAAGTACAAGTACTGATACATTTTTTTTTTAAAGTATCGGTGCATCCCTACTGGAGAGAGGCAGAAGAGGGCGCCATGTTGCACCACCCAGCTGGGTGGAGTGACTGAGCTGTCACACACCTTTCCCTGTGCTCCCGTTCTCTTCACTATATCAAATCTTGCTCCTGTCATTCCCGACATACCTTCCCCTGTCCATCCAGGATTGCCCCGTTCTTTCTGCTGCCCCTCATCCTCTCTGTCTACATAGTTCTCTGTCTCTTTCCATAGTATCAATTGAGCTTCTAGTTAACTCACAATGACACCAGTGTTACATATAGCATCTGGCTCCCTCAGATCTGTCATAGTTACATTAGTCACTTGATTTATTTTTTTTATCCATTTTTTCCATCACTTGTCATTCAAGCATCAAACCCTTCCAAACCCTCTGTTCAATTACTTGTCCTCCTCCATTACTTTACTGGCACCCTTTTAGCCATTTGAACTTGCTACTGTTAGGACTGTCAACATTTTTGCTGACCCGCTGATACTTGCACAACAGTTGGTTTCCCTGAATACAATATGGTGTATTATTCCGGTCCTGATGTATGCACTTCCTTTCATTTACTTAGATTAATCTGAATAATTCTGCCATCCCTGAGTCCTCTTCATTAATTTCATAATTTTATGGCGCTAAATATGAGTGTCATTTGACATATTCAGAAACTAATGACATTCAGTAATCTGATTCAGTCATACACATTCCTGCAGGTTAATTATGTTTCATTATTTGCAGTGCTTATTGTTTCATTTTATTGCAGCTCATAGACTGTAGGTTAGAGTTGACTTTTCTGTCCAATTGCTTTGTTGCCATTTAGGTTTTAATGTATGTGTTGTGAAATGTAATATACTATAGTGATAGTTTCTGTGGTTTCTATTTATTTGCAAATAATTTTTTGGGTTTTATCCAGCTCCATTTTTTGTTGACATTTTTGCATTTTAATTTTTTTTAAATAATTTGTTCTTATTCATTTAAAAAAAAGATACTTTTTTAAATGAATTATTACAATATATATTATTGGTTATAATCAAATATCCCAAAGTTTGTTTTTCCCCCCAGAATTGTGTTTTTCATGAGTGTATGACATGATGGTTCCTAATATGAACAGAACCATTTTAGAAATCCATTTGTTTATAACGTTTTTATGTTGATCTTATAGTCCTGAAGAAGGGGCATAGCCCGTCCTTAAGCCCCCAAAATAAATTGGCTGTTCTATGTTGTCTTGTTACAAGACATCACTAATATTAAAATACTTTGGACCCATAGGCCAGTGATGCATCACTATCTGTAGACTTTATATAATTGGTTCTTCAATTCTGGGTCCCCTTTTCAGGGGGTACCCTGCTTTTGTTGACAGCAGCCTACCACAGCCACTGCACCCTACTGACAATATGAATTCAGCGCTTTGTTTATTCATGTTCTGAGCTGTTAAAATGACAGCTCAGTCCTGCAGATTACACTGGGAGATGGCAGTTCTCCCTGTGTAACCAGCAGCACTCTACTCCTCTGTCAGTGTGACAGCTGCCCGCTCTGTAATCACAACACAGTGTCCAGCTGTCACAGAGCTCTGATGATTACACAAGGAGAGCCATTTTCTGACTAACCCACCGCTTTATTTCCTTGTTTGTGTGTACATGTGTTTATGTACACGCACTTGGTTTACAAGTTTAGTACAATGTATATTGCTTCATAACTGTAAACATTTTTTTAAATTAACATCTTTCAAAAAATATTTGATTAGCTGTTATGGGTTACTAGAAATTAACTATCTCTGCTGCTATGCACTGCTGTAACAAGTAAATGTGATTGTGTTCAGCAGTGTACACTTAATAATATCACCTATTGTGCAGCACTTTGTAAATGTGGCAAGGTCAATTCTACTTATCTGTATGGAGACACTATCAGGGACGTAGATGTCAGCCCATTAGACTGACACTGACCTCAAGGATTGTTCCCAGATGTGCAGTAATAAACAGAATTTAAACCCTTAGCTTGTTTCGGTTCAATACATTTACCATTTATACGTTTTTTTTCAAGCTATACAGAGAAGGAATTGGATGATTTTCTGCATTTCCTTGCTTTGCTACAAAGAGAATATATGTTTGCTCACTTGCTAAATAAATAGTGCATCAACCCCATATTTAATACTTTCTTCTTGCTATGTTAGCAATATGGGGATTTGTTGGCTTTTCAAAAGCATCCACATTGTGCTTTCCTTTTGCAGCTCAATCAGAGTATGAGCTACAATGTGATATAGTCACCTAATCCTTGGTCCTGTGGTAATCAGCACTCACCTCTCTCCCCCTCTACTGTGGCTGTGATATGTCCCTTTGTGTCCCCACGTCTAATGCATGTGAATGGACTGCATTAGACGTGATGATGTCATGGATATTTAGACTGCTGGAGCCTGGGGGAGAGCAGGCTGCGGACACCAGTCTAGCATCCTGGTTGGATCAAGGATCAGGTGAGTATATTTTTTTTTATTTGAGCCCCTAGACCAAAATGAGCAGTTAACCTTGGCAGTGCTGAGGTAGCCCCACTGCAAGGTTTAATTTGTTAGATTTCCGAAGTTCCTCTTTCAGTTTAAATACCACCAGACAACAAATAAAATCAGTTCATGAACTGCTAATACTGTACAGGAAATATAAAAGCTGCTATAAAAGTTCAATGATGTTACCTTATTTTGAGTTTTCTAAAAATCCTAAATGGCCAGATATAGCACTTCACAAAGGACTTTAGGCAGGAGTGCAGCCTCTGTCCATATGATTCTTTGATGTGCTATTTCCTTCTTATGCTTCAGCATGTATGGATAAGACTGCAGTGTGGTCCTAGAGAACACTGCTTGAACCCCTAAACATTCTGGCCTTCATTCCAGAAACGTTAGGTATTGAGGCAACAATACAGCCAGCTGTAGAAGAATAGGAATCAGAGCCATTCAGCAAGTAGGCTGTGAATTTGGTGGCAGTTTGCATAAACGCTGTCACTGTCAGCACTAGGTGGTCTAATTTTTTTAAGCAACAGCAGGAGTAGGTAGCTTTTGGGGTGACTCTCACGATGGTGCATGTTACTTAAATATTTTTGGTGGCCTGGTCATTTCATTTATCTGTTTATCAGGCTAAATACAGAAATTCATAATTGTGGACCTGATATTTTAGAGCCATCACTTAAGTTACCCACGGGTATAAAGTACTAGAGGGCTGCTAGCCCAATGCCAGTTAACACTTGTGTTTTCATCAACCATCTATGGCAAACCAGCAAGGTTGGCTCAAATTCAAGAGCTGGTGATTGGATATTTCTAACACTTTCTTGTACTGTTCCTCAGTCTACATGGTCTACTTACAAACCCACTAGCAGAGTGCTTCGGTGGTCTATTTCATTCATTTTGATTTGTGTCTATTTAGATTGCAGACACGAAAATGGTGAACCAATTTTAAAGCCATTTTGTATGAGTATTGACTTATGCACCTGGATTTGCATTCAGAAGCAAACAGCACAATACCTTTTGTACATAAATGTTCTGAACATTTTAAATTAATAAATGGGTTTCTCACATGTTTTGTATATCAAAATACCGCCATCCAGGTCTTCTTACCTTTGACTCACTACAGAAGAAAGGAATACGCAGTGATGTTATCTTTCCGTGGAGCTTATACTACTTCCTGGATTTTGGGGTGCTAGCAGAGATTGCTGGAACCTAAAACATCTTGTAGTCAGAGGTGAAAGAAGGGTCATTGCCTTTAATGACTATGGGCACCTCATGTCTATGGGCACCTTAACACTAATATTAATAATTATATTAATGGGTAGTATAGGTTGTTATTTACAGTCATTGCCTTAAATTAATTGTCCCAAATGAAGTATCACCATGTCAGGTATCACTTGCTATATGTTTTACACTGATTTTATCTTTCTCTGTCTCTCCAGTGTTTTTTGGGACTATGCCCTAATCGTGCCAATAAGTCAGATAGTCTGTATCCATTGCCACCATCAGCGTAAGTAAAGGTTTACCTGTATATTATGTATCAAAAAATGTTTGAGTGAATGAAATAGACAGCAAACGTGATCTGTTCTAAATCATTGCTAATGGGTTAGTCAGCTATATTAGTTCACATCACCAGAAATACTTGTCATGCTGATCCTCAAATATCAGTGCTGTCACTGACCTAAAACATAGATTTATCTTCATCATTCAATGTATGGAAATCAAGGTGTCATTATAAACGCAGAGCATCTAGCATTTTTAAAAGGACATTAGCAATGGAGCCTATAAATTACCCTTCTGACAGGTTTCCTTTACTGAAGCAATGTAAAGAAAAAAAATTTGCACAGTGACCCATCAGAACCAATTAGATTTCTGATTTACCAATCTGGAACAATCAGGATAATGGCATATGATTGTTGATTGGTTGCTTTGGGTTATTGAATTTTCTATTTTGCATTTTGTCTCATTAACTACATCTGTAAGTGTCTGTTTCTCTGTATACGATTGTTCATTGCACTAATCATGCTTATGGCCAGTCTTCTATAAGTACCCTTTGACTTTTTTCATGTATAGAAGACAGCAGAGGAGTCCTTGTTCTGGTCAGCCAGGATGGTATTCAGAGACCTCCACTCCACTTCCCTCCAGGAGGACATCTTCTTGCTTTGCTCTCTTGCCTTGAAAATGGTCTTCTACCTAGAGGACAGCTAGAACCCCCACTATGGTCACAAAGGGGCAAGGTATGTTAGAAAATCTTACTTGGTTCCCATGGGAAAATATCTAAGAAAGGAACAATGGAAGCTTTACACGTAACAATCCAGCTAATGTTTAAGCCAACATTCTACGTTGTTTTCTGAATGTAAATATGAAAAACAAATGCTGTTGCTTTAGACTGGATTCTTTTTAATTTTTACATTTCATTAGACTTTTTTAAATAGAGATACTTATCCTGGTGTTTTAGCTTTGTGAATCAAGCCTTTTATGTTGTGAAAAGGCAGTTTATTGCATTTTAATGCAACATACATTTTGCATGCCTTTGCCTGAGATAATAAAGGAAAATAATCTCTGTCTGCTGCTAATATGGCATACAACTATAAAACACATTACATATGCACTTGGCAATGCTACCATTAATTTTTATGGATTACCCAATTCAGGTAAGCTGCTTTTTCCACAGTGCACTGCATTGCATCACAGAGAAATGGAAAAATCTATGTTTATTGTTGTCTCCGTGCAATAGCTGACTAAGTGTGTTTAGTAGAGAAGGATTAAAACTCCTGTCAACTTATTTTTTGCTGTGTCCTATTGGTTGGATTTTCCTTCCCTTCCTGTCCTGGAGACATAACAAGTGTGTCACTAAATTAGAGGAAATCTCTCCAAAGTTTAATTTACTTTTTAGCCAGTTGTCAATGTAAATGGCTCCCCACTGGAAGTTTTTTATGGCAACGTGAAGAACACAACGTGTACACCTTCATATGCCAACTTGTAGCTGGCGTAGTGGGCATAACGTTTTTACATGGGAGGATTACTCGATATACCTGTGCCACATTATGTCATGGCACAGGTATATCAACGACATCCTGATCCTGTGGTCAGAAACAACTTTCAAGCAGACATGCATTCTCTTCCTGGATATATACATCTTTAAAGATGAGAAGGGAAATTCAAAATATACAGTATTACAGAGTTTCCTAAACTTTCTTTCAGGAAAACTAAATCTTTGAAGCATTTACTAAGAAAAAGTGAATATGATTCCAACAGCAAGCAACAATGTTGCAAATATGTGGGTACCTTCCCTTGTCAATCATGTGAATTTTGTCAAAATCATTATGTAGGTTCTACCGCTATCCTCCCACATGGAAATCCATTCTTTCCATGGCATTTTGCTAACTGCAATACAGAGGGGAGTGTTTATTTACTCACTTGCCCATGTGACATGTTCTACATGGGCAAGACAAAAAGGACTTTTAAGAGGAGAATTTCTGACCACATAGGGGATATAAAATCCTATAATATATTATCACCTGCAGCCAGACATTTCAGTTTGAAATGGGGGCTCTTTATAATCTAAAATTCTGTATGTTAGAGAGGATACACAAGTACAAAGGAAGGGGTAACTGGGACAAGATAATCTTACAAAAAGAATTTAGGTGGATTCACCACTTCAGGGGTTTTGCATATCTGGGGATCAATTAAGCCTTAAATGGACATTAAAGGTGCCCCCCCCCCCAATGTTTTTCTTTGACTCCTACCACATGGGGGG